ATAAGGGTTTTTTTTTTTTTGAGGGGGAGGGGAGGAGGGAAAGTGGAAGTTTGTTGTTTTGTTGTGTGTGTTTTTAACTAAGACTGAATTAAAATTTTACTTTTTAATTCATAATTTGTATTTCCACATTTCACGTGGGAAATTTAAGTTGGGAGCAGGTGGAGGAAGTCAATTTTGACAATTAGGTATCAACAGGGAGAGCCATCCAAGAGGGTGGAGAAGACCCACAGAAACACTGGAACCCTGGCACGATTCCAGATCTCGTCTGCAAGTGATGCTGTCCCGGGAAGCCTGTTATGCAGACACATTCCTCACCACAGCCCTGACACCTCGACTGAATATTTCCGAGGTGCGGCCCAGGAACCTGGGTTTCTTCCCAGCAAGTGATTAACTGTTTGGAGTGCATGGTTTTGAACCCTGGCTGTCCATTAGAAATACAAGGCACTTTTATAACAGCAGAGGCCTAGGTCCATGCCCCAGGGAGTCCAACATCCTTCGTCTGGGGTAGAGACAGCCCTCGGTGTTTTGAAACACTCCCAAGGCGGTTTTAGTGTCAGCTAGAGTTGAAAAGCCTCTGGTGCGGAGGAGGGAGCAGACCTGGTTTATAAAGCCAGGGGATTCATACCTGGACAGGTTTCCCCTGGTTGACCCGGGGGGCCGGGGGGGCCGGGGAACCCAACAGCCCCCATTTCTCCATAGCGGCCAGGGAGTCCTGGATCCCCCGGAGGACCTGCCAAAAAGAATGACACTTGTGACATAATAAACATATACCTACATTGTAAAATCCCACACAAGTGCTTTCTGTGACGCTTGCTGAAATGCAACTAGGAGACTGCTTTATAGTGTCCCTCCACATTTTACATGTTATATCTTAGATATGAGCCTTTCGTCCTGACTGGTTTGGTTCAGCGGATAGAGTGTCGGCCTGCAGACCGGGGGGTCCCAGGTTCGACTCTGGTCAAGGGCATACACCTTGGTTTGCGGGCACATCCCCAGTAGGAGGTGTGCAGGAGGCAGCTGATCAATGTTTCTCTCTCATAGATGTTTCTAACTCTTTATCTCTCTCCCTTCCTCTCTGTAAAAAATCAATAAAATATATTTTTTAAAAAAGATATGAGCCTTTCATCTGGTCTGCAGATGCATGACCTTGGAGTGGCGCTGTCTGTCATGGATTTAGGCTGCTCTGGTCTTGCAGGTGCCATCTCGGTAGGTCTTAGTCAAATGGTTTTACATATATTTTAATAGATAAAACACGCTCCTTTCTAAAAGGCGACATAGTAAAAAAAATCCCAGCATACAGTGTACATACTAAAATAAAATTTGATGTCTTGTGCCGTTAGAACTAAGATGCACATCTCTACCTGCACTTGCATAATTATAGATTCGTGCTAAAGTTCACCTGTTTAACCTGCTTTGTGTGCAAACTATGGCAATACTGGGCCATATTCCTCTGTCAGGGACACTCAAACCCCATTTCCACATTATTAATGGAAGACCTGAATGAAACACAAACCTTTGAGTGGAGGAGGTGGCGTTGTCAATGCCCCTGGCGGTCCTGGGTACCCGCGGTCTCCGGGATCCCCCTGGAATCATTAATGCATTGACTTTCCTTAGAAATAGGTATATTTTTTCATGTTGCCTAGCACTGAAAAAATATTATAAGGACCAAGAGTCCATTCATATAAGAAATAAAGACTATAGGCAGACTGGAAAAACGGATAGTTCATGGACTTCTAGGAAAAACAGGCATTTGACCTTTTCCCTATGCACAGAAATAAAGAACCAACTAGCAAAGTTCTCTCAAAAGAAAAGAAAATGGCCCTCACCAATTTTGCTCACTGGTTGAGCATCAGCCAATGGACTGAAGGGTCTTGTGTTAGAATCCAGTCAAGGGCCATGTACCTAGGTTGCAGGCTCGATCGCCACATATGGGAGGCAACCAATCGATGTTCTCACATCGATGTTTCTCTCTGCCCCTCCTTTCCACTCTCTCTAAAAATCAATGGAAAAAATATCCTCAGATGAGAATTAACAAGAAAACAAAATGTTTTTAACTCCAATAAAGTTATTCCATTCTCATAAATTAGATACCTCGGAAGCCATAAAGTTTCTCAAATATACCATGAGCATTGATGTCTGATTTGATACTCTAGGACAAATAGTTTATTCACCTATAAGAGCTGAATCCACATTTTATTTTAGCAGCAAATATGGTCCCCTTCATTGTGTCCCCTTAGTGCTACCATGGCTTGTCCTGGGCTAGAGTTGTATGTAAGGTCATAGAGATTGCAACGAAACAATTCAGTGGTGGTAAAAGCAAAGAGCTTTCCACAGCTCCCTCTGGTTTTAATCAAGATGCTGTATGATCCCCATGGAATTTTTTAAACTTTCAAAAGGATCATTGTTCAAATGTAAAATGTAATCATTACAACGTGCAATAAAATAATACATACAAAATTAACTCTGTCTCTTTCAAAAGTTACATTTTTGAATCATTCTTCAGAATATGTTTTCAACCTATATTGGACCACATAAGGGATGTGGAATTTTGTCAGGTGGGTACTCTGGCAGGTTCAATTTTTTTACCTTTGGACCAGGAAATCCAAATGACCCAGGAGCTCCAAACAGTCCTTGTTCACCCTATAAATAACCAGAAACATGCCTTTTTAAAAAAATGTAACTAGGTGACAAACTATCTCATTGTCATTTAATTTGAGCGACACATGCTCACCGAGATTCTGTGCAAAATCTTAACATCTTAACACTACTTTGGGGTTGCAGCAGTTTTGTGCTTTAGACTTTGCACCCACAGCTAAAACATATAATTCGTAAAGTGACTATGTCTCCCTTTTCAATTCTGCGTGTGTGTTTGGATGCACTGTTCCAACTTTTGAATGACACTCAATTGCATTTACTAATTAAAGTGTATTTATCATATCCATACTGTACACTTACCTTTAATCCTGGAAAACCTGGAGATCCATAGGAGCCAGGAAAACCCTAATAAATTCACAAAAAAAGACACAAACTGAGTTAAATTAAAATGCATACAGCAGCTCAAGTAATTCTATTTCACGTGAAGGGATTGCACCATGCATATTTCATCTTATCCGCTAAGGTCATTGAATAAAAGAAAATAAATATAAAGTAGATTTCATTTCTTTATCACATTTACTATTTTAATTGGTAAAGACCAATTTTAAAAAATGTATGTCCTGCCTAAACCGGTTTGGCTCAGTGGATAGAGCGTCGGCCTGCGGACTGAAAGGTCCCGGGTTCGATTCCCGTCAGGGGCATGTGCCTGGGTTGCGGGCACATCCCCAGTGGGAGATGTGCAGGAGGCAGCTGATCGATGTTTCTCTCTCATCGATGTTTCTAACTCTCTATCTCTCTCCCTTCCGCTCTGTAAAAAATCAATAAAATATATTTAAAAAAATGTATGTCCTCACCAGTGCTTCAAATTAAAAACATATTTTGTTGGTGTTACTATTCCATTTTAGTTTATTTAACTTAATGCTTGCATTGGTCTAAACATCTTTGAAATCATTGCAATATAATTTGCCTACAGATTAATAGTTGCTCTAAGCATTATCAGCAATAAAAATTACCATGGAAGCCAATTTTGTCCCACTAAACACTAAATCTAGAGCCAAATAAACCCAATACCCATGTCCACTGGGTCTGACCTCAATAGTCACTCTACGAATGGGGACCACACTAGCGACATGCGTGGTGATGTTTGAGGCCTGATTCTGTGCTTCTTTTTTAGCTCCTGCCCCTACATCAGTACTTTCTTTGATCAAATACGCTTAAATGAACAATTCCAAGCTGCTATAACACTGACACTGAGCCAGACAGAAAATGCCACAATCCTGTTACTTCCCTCCAGTTCTATCTCCTGCTTGCCTGTTTTATCCAAATGATGTCAACAGAAGGGGTGTTCTGGGACTTTGAGCTATTATACAATTCTTGTTGTTAAAATTCTATTGTTCCTATTTGAAATAATACCTTTTTTGAACTCTCAGATGTAGTGATCTAGTTTTATAAAAATTTAAGAAAGAAATGCCTCCATACTCACTGAAGTTAAGGGTGGCATGAACAATCCTTACCCGAGGGCCTGGGAAGCCAGGGATGCCCTTTTCTCCTTTTTCCCCAATACCAGGTTCTCCCTTAGAAAGATGGCATTTACAGGGGTTCAAACAACAATATTTCAGCAATAGAGAATGCAAACACAAAATGAAAAATAAAAATTGTTGCCAGCAAGTTAAAGAAAACAACACTTTACAATAGGAACCCTACAGGACTATGATAACACAGTGACAAATTCTAGTAACATATACTGACATTTAAAGCAATGATAAAGAACACAAATTTTTTAAAAAAAATATTAAGTTAGCACATGATACAAATTTTTTAAAAAGTGACTTCAATAAATTACCTTGGGTCCTGGAGGTCCTGGAGGTCCAATCATTCCAGGTATTCCTTTAACACCCTAAAAGTCATAATTAATGTAATCTGGCTTATTATTATTACTAGAGGCCCGATGCATGAAATTCGTGTACTTGCGGTGGATCCCTCAGCCCGGCCTGTGCCCTCTCGCAGTCCAGAAGCCCTCAGGGGATGTCCAACTGATGGCTTAGACCTGCTCCCAGGCCTAAGCCATCAGTTGGACATCCTTTGTGCTGCTATGGAGGCAGGAGAGGCTCCCGGCAACG